GAACATTACCTTTTCCAACTATTATCCACATTTTCTTAAATGTTTTTTGCAAGAGGTTCAGAAGTCCGACTTAATAACAGTATATCCGTATGAAAATGTTTCAAAACCTCATTTGTATTCCAACTAAATTATTTTTTGTTATATTTCTGAGAAAACCTCCATTATAAGATTTTGCTTTTTCGTTTGAAACACCGCCAAATATACGTCTGAGACCCTATAAAGATCCATGTTTGTAAAAGTAAAATTCTATGTTGATTTGATAATGTCCGTCTATCTGTTTTAATCACGTTTGAGAGCCCAATGTTTACGATAGAGTACGAAATTTTGCATATAGATTCCTAATTCCTTTACGATCTGCACACTTACAAATTGGCACCAGTTTCGTATGCAGTATTTTTAATATTTCAATCACAAAGGACTTCACAAAAGCAAAAACGTTTCAATAGAGTTCCATGACTCTACATAGTAACGTAAAATCTGAAGGACATTTTTGTAAAATATGATTGTCAAAACATATAATATTGTTAGAAAGTCCAAAAGTTCATTCCATTTGCTTGGAGAAATACGATCTCAAAATATTCTGATTAAGTAAGATAGATTACTACTACTACTACTACTATTGGATTCCCACCGTAAAAATTGTATCACACGACTTTGAACTTTCTACGCTCTTTTTATATTCACCAAGGACTTTCATCCCCCAAAAAAAATTTAAATACGCAATTTTGTTGCATAACATTATTTATATTTTTGTACATTTTTTGTTATTTTTTCTTTTGGTTAATGGTTGCCTAGAATTATTTTTTTTTGTGTAATTGGCTATCCCAATACCTTAATTCGCTATTGTTTTCATTTTAATTTCATTCATTTCTTGTTATCCTTTTTGAAAAGTATAGTAGATTTCTGTGTTATTTTTATACCCTCCACCATAGTATGGAGGGTATATTAGTTTTGTTTTTCCGTTTGTAACGCATCGAAATAATCATTTCCGACCCTATAAAGTATATATATTCTTGATCAGCGTAAAATTCTATGACGATCTAAGCATGTCCGTCTGTCCGTCTGTCCGTCTGTCTGTCTGTCTGTCCGTCTGTCTGTTGTAATCACTCTAGCGTCTAAACGAATTGAGATAGATCGTCAAAATTTTGCATAGAGTCGTCTTTTGTCTGCAGGCAGGTCAAGTTCGAAGATGGGCTTTATCGGTCCACGTTTAGGCATAGCTCAACTGAATTCGCTCAAATTTGGTATATTGAGTTCGTATTGGGTAGCAAATCTTTCCACTGAAAATTATAAATATGGGTCCATATTTTCGGATAGCCCCCATATAAGGGTACCCCCCAATTTTCGGTATTTTGAGGTTCTTGAGCGCGTTTTTCAACTGAATTCGCTCAAAATTGGTATATTGAGTTCGTATTGGGTAGCAAATCTTTCCACTGAAAATTATAAATATGGGTCCATATTTTCGGATAGCCCCCATATAAGGGTACCCCCAATTTTGAGGTATTTTGGGGGGTTTGATCGCATTTTTCTACCGAATTCGCTGAAATTTGGTACTTTGAGTTCTTATTGGGTAGCAAATCTCTATACTAAAAATTATTAATATAGGTCAATTTTTTCGGGTAGCCCCCATATAAGGGTACCCCCCAATTTTCGGTATTTTAGGGTTCTTGAGCGCGGTTTTCAACCAAATTCGCTGAAATTTGGTACATTGGGTTCTTATGGGGTACCAAATCTCCCCACTAAAAATTATAAATATAGGTCCACTTTTTCCGGTAGCCCCCATATAAGAGTTCCCCCAATTTTCGCTATTTTGAGGTTCTTGAGCACGTTTTTCAACCGAATTCCCTGAAATTTGGTATTTTGTAGTCATATATGGTAACAAATTTCCCTACAAAAAATTATTAATATGCACCCCCTTTTTGGGGTAGTCCCCATATAACCCCCTTTTTATACCCTCCACCATAATATGGAGGGTATATTAATTTTGTTTTTCTGTTTGTAACTCATCGAAATAATCATTTCCGACCCTATAAAGTATATATATTCTTGATCAGCTTAAAATTCTATGACGATATAGCCATATCCGTCTGTCTGTTGTAATCACTCTAGCGTCTAAACGAATTGAGATAGATCGCCAAAATTTTGCATAGAGTCGTCTTTTGTCTGCAGGCAGGTCAAGTTCGAAGATGGGCTTTATCGGTCCACGTTTAGGTATAGCTCCCATATAAGGGTACCCCCAATATGGGAGCGAATACGCTGAAATTTGCTACATTGGGTTCTTATTGGGTACTAAATGGCTCCACAAAAAATTATAAATATAGGTCATCATTCTCTAGTAGCCCCCATATATCGGTACCTCCTAATATTCAGTATTTTGGGGGTTTTGATCGTATTTTTCTGCCGAACTAGCTGTAATTTAGTATTTTGAATACATAATATGTAACAAATCTCTCCACAAAAACTTATTAATATAGGTCAATTTTTCGGATAGCCCCCATATAAGGGTACCCCCAAATTTTCGGTAATTTGGGTTTCTTGAGCGCGTTTTTCAATCGACTTCACTGAAATTTGCTACATTGGGTTCTTATTGGGTACTAAATGGCTCCACAAAAAATTATAAATATAGGTCATCTTTCTCTGGTAGCCCCCATATATCGGTACCTCCTAATATTCAGTATTTTGGGGGTTTTGATCGTATTTTTCCGCCGAACTAGCTGTAATTTAGTAATTTGAGTTCTTATTCGGTAGCAAATCTCTCAACAAAAAATTATAAATATAGGTCAATTTTTTCGGGTAGCCCCATATAAAAGTACCCCCAATTTTCGATATTTTGGGGTTCTTGAGCGCGTTTTTCTACCGAATTCGCTGAAATTTGGTATTTTGTAGTCGTATATGGTAACAAATCTCCCCACCAAAAATTAATAATATTCGGTTCAGATTTAGATATAGCTCCCATATATATTTTCGTCCGATTTTAAGTAAATGGTACACCAAAATCCCTATATATCTTTCGATTTGCACGAAATTTGGCATAGAGTACTGAATTGAGGGAATTGAGCGAAATCGGATGCGCTTAATATTTAGCTCCCATATATAGTTTCGTCCGATTTTATGTAAATGGTGTACCAAAGTCCCTATATATATTTCGATCTGCACAAAATTTAGCATAGCGTACTGAGTCACGCCTGGAGTTATGTGCGCCATGTTTCGTGAAAATCGGTTGAGATTTTGATGCTATATATATATAGGTAAATGGCGTACCAAACATCCAATATTATTCACACTGAGACAAAATTTTGCACAGCAAACTAGATTAGGTCCAGTTTATGAAGTTTTAATGAAATCAGTTGAGTTTTAGATATATTTCTCCCATATAAGTTTATCCGATTATATGCAAGTGGTGATTGAGAAAAAAATTTTGCACAGCCTACTAAATTAGGTCCTGTTTGATATTTATGATGTTTTGTTGAAATCGGTTCAGATTTAGATATAGCTCCCATATATATCACACATTTAGTTTCACCCCATTCCATTTCAATGGTCCTCTAAAGATTATGTGTCTGTTCTATCTACAGGATATTGTATATATTAGCATCGCTTTTTGTATTCAAAGTGGTGAAGGGTTTCATAGAGTCGGCTCGGTCCGACTTTTGAACTTTCCTTACTGGTTTGTATTATAATAGTTAACTGACATTTCTTAGCGTGATCCACCATATTACTGTATAGCACCATATAATGGGATATTCTGACTTTGAAATTGGTGTTTTAATCATATTTTCGGTAGTTCTACCAGAGGTATTCAATATTAACCCCCCTTAACATACAGTATCATATAACATTGCCATCTAATTTACAGTATTTTCAGCATTTTAGACAAAACTTCCATCATAATATGCGTTTTCAATGTTGGTCCACATGTTTGACTGTTCATATTTAAAAAAAATCGTGATTAAAAATTGCAAAAATTTATATTTTGTTTGCTAAAAACATTCAGTCCGTTTTTGCATCATATATATATATATATATATGGCAGGACATTTTGCACAACGATCTAAGGTTAGTATAGCCTAACATGTGTTAAGTGCAATTGGAATTGGTATATACATCCCATATACTGACTTCATGTTAATTGCGCACCAAAGAATCAACGGGTGTCTGACTGAGATTAATTGCTTTGCAGTGTACTGTAGCATACCGAATAGCCTGTGTCAAATTTGATTTAAATCGATTTACATAATTCAGTCCCATTTTACACATACGACTCTAATGAAATGCAATTTTGCATAGGTTGCCGATGATATATGTATGAATTGATTTAAGTCCGCTCACATATAGTTACAGAATTTTACATCTTTTATGATGCATCTCTTAAATATACCCAGTGGTAAATGATATAATTTAGCCGGCCTGCCTGTCATTGCCACCAATTCCGGTACACAGGTATTAATAAGATTTGTTTGTTTTTCTTTTTATACTGATAAATCATTTATGATATAACTGACGTAATAAACAACTTAATATATTTTACCTGCATCGATAAAAGGGGAATTTATTGCGCTGAAGGGTTCTACCTGTCCCAAAAGGGGTATGTTTTTAATTTTCTTAAAATTTTTGTAAACAACACCTGGTCCATGAGCAGGCAATGTACCTGTGCTGCATATATACCTGGATAGGATGATTGGATTATATTTAAGATGTGCCAATTATTATTTACATACTTAGTACTTCATAACTACTTAACAAGAAAGGTTCATAGTGCGCTTAAAAGTATTATTGTTTTAATATAAAGTGAAAAGTGTTCAATATATATTCTTATATAACCATTAGTACAATTGGAAATATTGGTAAGTGAAGTGTATTAATATAAATTACCAGAGTTACAAATCATTATTTCTAAAAGGTCATAGAAAACAAAAATTCGAGGTTCAAGGCGGTCATAAAAATACAGTGGGACTAGATACATTTAGTGTACGAACTCATATATATATTAAAACTTCAATATGCCCAGACTACGTAGACAATCGTCTCAACAACGTCAACGTTTAACGGCATTGAGAGTTCGTACGCATAGAGACCAAAATCCTGCGGATGGGGAAAGGAACGCTCGCATTTTAGCCACAAGAAGGCAGGATGCCGAATTTAGGGATGCCGAGCGTGAAAGAGACCGCATTGCTCGACAATCGAGGAGAAGGTCCTCCTTCAACAGAGCAGTTGAGCAGTTACGCGATATGGCTCAACATTCTCGTCGCCGATTGGATGAAAATTACCGACTTATAGAACAAGAACGCAATACGACGGAGCATTCGATCCGTCGAGAAAACGAAAGCTATAGGCAGGTGGAAAGAGAACGGGATGCCGAAGGACATCGTATACGCAGAGAAAATGAAAGCATTCGACAAACTGAAAGAGAGCGGGATGCCGAAGGACATCGTATACGCAGAGAAAATGAAAGTATTCGACAAATTGAAAGAGAGCGGGATGCCGAAGGACATCGTATGCGTAGAGAAAATGAAACTTATCGCCAAACAGAAAGAGAGCGGGATGCTGAAGAACACCGCATTCGTCGCCAGGACGTTAATTTCCAAACATCGGAACAAGAACGAAATACAGCCGAACGTTCACGTCGTCGGGAAAACGAAGACTATAGACAAGCGGAAAGAGAACGGGATGCCGAAGAACATCGTGTTCGTAGGCAGGACATAACGTATAGATTGTTCGAGCAGGAACGAAATACTGCCGAACATTCATTACGCCGGGAGGATGAAAGTTATCGACAAGCTGAACGAGAGAGGGATACTGAAGCACACCGTATTCGTCGACAGGATATTTCGTACCGCTTGTCCGAGCAAGCGGCTTGATATTACATATAGACAGGCAGAACGTTTAAATGACTCGGAACAACATATTGTTCGAAGAACGAATCAAGTATACCGCATTTCTGAGCAGCAACGCAATACCCAACAACGTCGTGAAGCTAGACGACTTAATCGTATTCGAGCTCAGGACCAAACCCAAAGAGGAAACTCTCGCGTGAATAGTCATAGGTCAAATGCCGTTAACAGACAAATTGAAAACAGCCGTCATGCTGCCAGACTTGCTTATATAAGGCAAAATCTTTCTCCGGAATCTAGAATAGAGAATTCAGAAAGGGATTCTGAAAGGCATCGGTCCGTACAATTTGAAGAATTTTCAGAACTAATTAAAAATGGGCCGACGGAAATTTGCATTTGCTGCGGGGGACTATGGTTTCCAAACCAAATTAAATTTATTGTTAAAGATACATTTTTAACAAAATATCCCAATCTATCCGAAGTTTTCTTCCTCTCAAATACATTCCCATCCGAAGATAATCAATACAAATTTTGTAATACGTGTCACAAAATTTCTAACGGAGGGAGAGTACCCACAATTTGTTTATCAAATGGTTTGCACTTCCCAGAGATTCCAAGACAACTTCAAGGAATGACCCCATTAGAAGAACGATTCGTGTCGCCACGAATTCCCTTTATGCGAATTGTTTCTCTAGGATACAACCGCCAATGTGCTGTAAGGGGTGCCGTTGTTAATGTACCAATTCAATTAGACAAAACAGTGAATGTACTTCCACGAAACTTTAATCAAACGGAAGTTGTTCAAGTTCATCTAAAGCGTAGGCTAAAATATGAACAAAGTTTCATGACCGAAACCATACGACCAGCAAAAATTTACGAGGCAGCAAGATATCTCATAAATACAGAACTGTATACGAAACATAATATAGTTCTTTCCGCGGAATGGTTGAATAATGTTAGTTCTGCTGAAGAAATACCTTTCGTTTCCAACGTGGAAGACGCAGAGGTAGTCTCTCAATTAATAAATAATAATTTAGCACAGGATGATATTGAAGAAGTGAACCCACAAGAAACTTTATTAGATAATAATCCTGTAGAAAATATGCCATTGCAGCGTATTTCCGTGGCTCCCGGCGAAGGACAGCGGCCGTTAGATATGCTCTTGGACGAGGATTCTGAGGAACTTTCCTATCCTACAATATACTGCGGTATTAAAAGAAATTGTAGTGCTAGTATTGGAAAAATTATTAAGTCTGAGGTTCGACGTTACGACAGACGGTGTGCACGGGTTGACAAAATTTTGTATTCTTATAAAAAATTAGAGTTTTCCCGCATTAAAAGCAGCATTTCTACTTGCTTAAGGAAAAAGGTTGGAAATAGACAATTTACGGCGGCTGAGGTTTTGGATGATCAAGTTATCCACAATCTTGTTCAACATGACGACGGTTATCACATTTTGAAAGGCATACGATCTTCGCCAGCTCACTGGGAAGGAGAAAAGAGAAAAGTTTTAGCCATGATAAGACAGTTTGGACTTCCGACATTTTTTATTACGTTGTCTGCTGCCGAATCCCAGTGGCCCGAATTATTAGTAATTCTAGTGAAAATATTGGAAGGAAAAGACATTACTGAAATGGAAGCTATGTCCTACTCAACTCAAAAAAAGTATGATCTTATTCGTGCAGATCCAATAACATGTTCGAGATATTTTGATCAGAGAATTAGGCATTTGTTTAAATATTTCAAATCTGATGGCGGAATATTCCAGGAACATAATGTAATTAAATATTACTGGAGAATAGAATTTCAACAACGGGGTTCTCCTCATTTGCATGGAATATACTGGTTATATAATGCACCTCAAATAAATATTTCAGACCATACGACATTCGAGCCAGTAACAAGTTTCATTGATAGGTTTATTTCCACAGATTCGTCAACTACTGATGTGCACAATTTTATAAATGTTCAGCGTCACAACCACAGTAGATCATGCCAACGTGAAATTCGTGGACAACAATTTTGTCGTTTCCACATTCCGTATCCCCCAATGCCAAACACTGAAATACTTTTGCCGCTTTCTGAAGATATTGATTCAAATGAACTTCAGGTACACAAAGAAAATTTCGACAAAATCAATAGATTACTTAACGCCAATTTATCTAATGATGAAATAGACGAACTTCGAGCTATTTTAGCTATGCAGATATGCTTGCGTTGCGTACATTGTTAATTATATAAACAAATCCAATAGAGGTGTTTCAAGGCTGTTACAAGAAGCCATGGCAGAAATAAGAAATGGTAATTATTCTGTTAAGGAGAGGCTTCAGCATATCATTAATGCTTCTGAAGTTTCAGCCCGAGAAGCATCCTGAAAAACGTGTACGAATAATAACACATCCTGAAAACGTGTAGCAAGATTTACAAAATCTTGAAAGGGATTCGACTAATATCTTCAAAACAAATATTCTCGATCACTATATCCAACGACCGGACATTTTAGAAAATGTTTGTTTGGCATACTTCGCAGCTTATTATGTATTTTCTCGCAAGTTAAGAAAATGTCATCCTCAAGAAGAGCAAGATGATGATTATTTTGAGAATGAGGAGACAAATATGGATCACGTTGGAGCTCCCATCCGTCTAAAAAATAATTCAGGGTATGTTTATAAAAGGAAAGCGCCAGCAATTGTAAGATTTCCTTCCTTTAAAGTAAATACAAATAGGGACGATTATTTCCGATCTTTGGTTATGTTGTATTTACCATGGAGAAACGAAGTCGAAGAATTGTTAGAAAATGACAACGAAAATACCTGTATGGTTCATAAACGCACGATTGAAGAGAATCAATTGCAATTTGATTTATTTAAAGAAGGCGAACTTGACGAGATCTTGCTACAAGTACAAGATGAC